AACAAAGTAGTTTTTTAAGTTAAGCGATGACATTTAACTTAGCTTACGGCCACTGGCTCAATTCCCTTTTAAAATAAATATGCTCCCGTGTAAACCTATTTTAAGTAATTAATTATTTATATTATTATAAGCCTCATTGTTATTTACAATTACAAACTCATTTCACATCAAAGCATTTTATAAAGGTCGAACAGTTTTCTACAGTTACACGTAACTATAGCGATTACTATTTTTATTTTGCTTATTGTTTAGTTTAAATTTTTAAATCTTCTTCATAGTTAAATTATCCTGAAAATAAATAAATTGTGACATATGTAATGTTCAAAACTGGAATTTACTTAGCTATATTTACCTTTTCGTTTTAAAGCAAAATTTGTTTCACCTTTGAAACAGTCATGTAAAAATGTCCCACAACGGACATTAATTGGTTCACTGGTTTCTCTCTAAAATCTAAAAGCCTAATTACTTTTCACATGATTAAAAAAAACTTGTAACCTAAATGTATTTTTATTCCCAAACACTCTTCTTTCACTTATTACTTGTTACGACATAACTAGTTTCTTTGGTTTAAACGATTGTAGAGGAAGTTCTCCTTTGTTGACTGATCTTATTTGGAAAATAATTGAAATCTATGGAGTAGCGGATAGCTGTTTCATTCTAATATGAAACATCTTGTCAGGCCTCATTTTGTGAACCCATCAGAAGTCACATCCAAAATCTATAGGCCTCTCAGTGAGTAATTATCCCTCTGATGATCAAATGGTCATGCAGAGGTTCTTAGTGCAGCAAGACAATCATCCTCTGCGATTAATGAGATTCATCTTGAATCCGAAACGAATGTATTCTACTATTCATGGCTTCCCATTATAACTTCGGGAATTACGCCTAAAAGTTAGCCATCAGTACGCACTAAGGTCATTTCGTGATATAAAACTACAAGATAACTAATCGTTTAAGGAAAGTTTTCCGACATCATATTATAGAAGAGATTTCGATTTATTGTAAAGGAAATATGGTATATGAATTAAAACATCTTTTAGGGGGTAGTGTTTGTCGACCATCACATTTGAGTTCTAGACAGGTCAATTTACTGTTTCATCATGATTTATTTTGTACAGTTTAACTTTTTCGGGTTAGAAGTCTTTTATCTCTCTGAACTCGCGAACCAATTTAAATAAACAACCATTGAAAATCTGAAAGAACTTGACAGGTGTTTCGTTTTAATATAGGACTCAGAAGCGAGAATCCGCAGCCAAACAGTCGAAAATCAAACCCAGGATCTTCAGTCTTGCGCGTCTATTATTTCTAACACTTCCAGATTCAATTATGGTGTGCACTGGCGGCCAGATTGTGTTTTATGATGGTGTGTAATTATCTGGGAGAATGTGCGATTACAGTTCGATCAAATAAGTAAGGCATAATACGGAGAGATGAATGCGAAGTGAATGAATCATGTTTAGGGGAGATTAATAAGGATGTTCAACCAATAGTAATAATAATAATAATACAAATTTCACTTGGTGTTGTTTTACTTGGATCTTTCCATTGATGTTTAGGATTGCAATTGATCAGTCTCTTATTGGCATATGTACATATTGCATGTATTGCCTCGATATTGCCTTAATTTACAAGCATTATAGGCAAAGATGGATAATGGCAAGCAGTGGAATCCAGGACGCGCGTTTCAAGTAAAACAATACCAAGTGAATTAAAATTCACCCCATTGCACAAGCAAGTGGCTATCAGGACTCAGTAGCTAAGTGGATAACGTGATGGCGTTTGAAGCAAACGGTACTGGGTTCGAGTCCCAGAGTGAATATCAACTCAGACTCAGGTACATCCAACTGACGAGTCCCAAATAGGATGGAACGCACGTCCTGGATTCCACTGCTAGCCACTATCCATCTTTGCTAATAATACAAAGATTTGTGAATAAAGATAATAGAGACAATTACAATTGACTACAAAAGGTCGTAGTCAATGATCTTTTTTATATGCGATATTATCTCTAAAGTACAGATGACACATAATTTTGAATCAAAACACATAAATTTCAACTTGAACTTGAAATCACACACAGCTCTCATTAAATATGTCATTATCCTAAATCACAATGATACACTTTTCATTTTTTCCAGTTACCATCATTGTATGCAATCAAGATTAGACTGAATTAATCTATTTTCACTAACTGAAATAATTATAAATTATCAATTAATTAAATAACAACACTTCAGAAATCTTAGTTTCGTTAACGGTTTAACGTCTTCTTTCGTCACTACAATCAAACTTCTCCTTTTCTATCAACAATGTCTTTCTCATTAATTTATTTGAATCTAAAATACATTGAAAGTGTATACTACGATGAAAGAAATCGGAAAAAATAACGGACATCTGTGACAGTATTGTTATTTAAATTCGGTGTGCGAATCTAGCACTTACTATTTAGTGACATAATAAAAAGCCCTCATTTTTGATTGGGGAGCGCTAACTCATCCTGATCTCACTGGGTGTTTTATATACATTTATTCTATTGTGTGATAGTTACATAATAAGATAGCTAAAGGATAAATATTACCATGTTTCGGCCTTAAGTAGTGAGAAACTTTTATCGATCATTGAGTGCAACGAAACAAGTTAGCTGTGTGAAATAAATTTTCAAAGCACTCAAGTCTTAATTTAAATGATAGAAAGCCTGAAGATCTAAAATATTTTGAAAACTTTTTGTCAATGATTGCCAAAAGTCCTAAAAGTGCGTGTTCTTGTCAATGAGTCTGACATATGTGATTATGAAGTAAGCGATTTTATAAAAATAATAAATTGTTCATTCATATTCATTTAAAAGTAACAAACCGTTCAATTATTCATTCACATTTAAATTGCATGGATAGTTATTTTATGTATTGCTTTTCTTCTAATCTTCCCATCTATATAGTATATTCTTAAAATAGCATAATTGAATGTGAAAATTACCGTTAATAGATAAGGGGACTAAGCTGAAGACTCTCCAACCCCTTAACTTAAACTAGCTAAATATCGAAAGGTTGAATAACAAGGTAAATAGGTAAATGAATAATAAAAAACCTAGACTGTTGTATATATATACAAAATATTCAGCCAAGATATTATGATTTAGACATTACATATCAATTTTTTACCCGTGAAGTTTGTCAATTTAAAACGTGGCACTCATGTGCATCGGTTCATATTACCTAATCATATCAAATTAACGATAAGTAATTACCAAAATAAATGCTTGAGTAGTAGAGTTAGTAAGGGTATTAGTTTCAGTAGAAAAGATCAAACACAAACAGTATGATTCAAGAAGAAAAACAGGTCCGTGGCATATAAAGTTTAAGATATTTTCTAGGATCGAGATCTAAGGGAAGATAAATAACGAATGTATATGGGCCATTACTTAATGTTTACAAAACCTGAATGGATTCGATGGATGGAAGAACCAAACAATTTTACTATTCTGATTACTTAATGTGAATTGATGAAATCACCAAGTATAATTTATCGGTCGTAATTTAAGAGAAACCAGATAGTGAATAGATAATAACTTTACGCTTCTTTTTGTACAACCAGTAATAATATAATAACGACCATAACAACGAGAAACTTGTAATCTTTCTAGTAGATTTCTGAGATATAGAAAACAGTCTGACATTTCCGTTTGTTCACTAAAAGCTAAGTTACCAATAGTAACTACCAAGGACGTCACGTTTTCTGATGTTTATGCTTTTCAGACTCTCTCTCCCTCCCCCCTCTCTCTCTGTATATATATACTGAAACACGTTTATTATGTAGTATATCCTCATTTCATAAAACCCGAGCTTATTTATCTGACAAAATGAATGACTATCATTATTACGAATATGTAACTACACAGAGTTGAAGGGTTGGTTTCACAGAATTGTAGCATATATAAACGTTTAAAAAATGGTAACATAAGGCTTGAATAAATATATAAATACACATCAGGGGAATTAGCGTTTTTTCGGCTCGGAATGAAATGAAAAATATTCTTCAAAATGGGTAGATAATTCTTTTCTTTTTATTGCTTTATTATTATAAGTGCAATTATTTAACTTTCCTCTAAAGAATTTATTTTTTACTTTACTATTTATTCAACGTTATACCTCTGTTTTCAGTCTTCACTTTTGTCTACAAAATAATGGAAATAAATCACAAGCTATTGCATTCATAATGAGATACTTTCTCTAAAATGCAACCTAGATCCAATGTTACCAAATTACTATTTCCAATCGCCTGATTATAAAACAATGTATGTAATGTCGAGACACTTTGAACAATGACTATAGTGCAACTTAATCAATCAGATTCGATCGGGAATAAAGACTAAAAAACTTGCCATGGGTTACTACCCAGTAGTCAATCAAATAAGCAATATTTGATGTACATAGATACTCTAAGAAATTGGCATAACCATGACACTTTCTGCATTTAGACTGACAGATGTTACACCTTTTCAATAGGAGGTATGTAGAACAGTTTATTAACTCGAATCCAACATGGTATTAACTAACAGACAATGTTACTGTTTAAGGCTTAGATGTATTGGAAGCTTTTTTTAGTATGTTTAGTTCCTAGGCCAGAACCGAGTTTAATGAAGTTGTAACAACGAGAGTGAAGTGATCTACTAAAACTACCAAGTCGCATTTTTACTAGCCTATTCTACTAGTAGGCAATAATCAGGATTGCGATATCGAGTCACTTAAATTTCAGGTAGCAGTTAGACTGAAATGATAGAATTTGATAGGTATTGAGCGACAGCCGATAAGACATTGGTTCCTAATCAGTTATCAAAGTAATATCTGGTCACAGAACTCTATTTGTATCATTTATATCCTTTCCTACATTTATTTTACTATTGACAAATGTCCATGGAAGCAGTTAAATGTTATTTTCAAATTCAAACCATTGGATGTGGCTTTTACGCTAAAATCCAAGTTCTGTATTTCATTGCATTTTAGATTATATACATGTGTTGCAAACTGCTTGTCAGAATCATCGTGACAGGGTGCACATCAGTACAAATAGATTCTTCAAACCATAGAAATCGAATAGTGAGTGGTGAAAACAATTGTCAATCATCAAAAGGGTAACCAGTTTACTGTTTGTTATTAATGCATATTTCTCATGTTTATCTGTGAATAAGAATCATGTGTTCACCCTACCAGCGAACAAGTTATACAATTGTATTTGTAATAATTTTCTCCTTGTGAGAGTGGCAGTCAATTGTCTGCCTTGTATGAGGGAAGACTGTTTTATAACTCCTCTACTGTTTATATTAAAAATCATGACAAGCAGGTTGTTAGATTGAAAACTCAAACGGGTTAATTAAAGTAATCAGCGGCTTTTCGCAATTTTTAAATTCTGTATAGGATTCTGTACGTGATGGGAATCTTTTTTCTTTCATTTAACTTACAGCTAGGAATCCTAAAGAGTGGTAGTTAACCATATTTCTAAGGAAACGTTTTAGTGAAATACACAAATCCTTATGCTCAGCTTTTACTTTTCTTGGAAAAAGTATATTTAATTTTTTCTGAACATTCTAGTGTAAAATTATATCCTGAAATTAAACCTAATTAGACTGCAAGTATTTTGAATGTTCCGCATCTTGAACTTGTTGGTCTCATTATAAATGATCATTTTAAAACGAAGGAAGAACCTATCCTTTTAATGATATCTTTGTTTCGAAAAAAAGTTTAAATTTAAGCATGAGATACTATTTGTTTGATATTAACTAAACACTTGCTTGTATATAGCTGATATAGAGTAGATTTTGTTACAGCATCGAACTAGTTGTACTATGAAACTAAATGTTTCTTACAGTCGTAATTTAATTACTTCTTACGTGAGAATACTGTTCACATAAGTATTATAGATTAACTAGCCAAAATAGCTGAAGAAAATAGTTTTCCATGTACTAAGAAGCTAAAAAATCAATCACTGACAAATTCCCCGACAATTTGTAAATACACAATGATAATGAAACTTAATCTCATTTTGTTTAATCTTTATTGTTTAATAGTTTAGTTAAAATTTTTTATTTCTTTATAAACTTTTTAATTGATCATATTTAACTTTAAATGATTTGGACTGATTCATTATTGTGAAATGTTATATGAAATCTAAAATTATATTACTGACAAAAATATTGAGTTCTCATTATTTTGTTTAAACTTTTTCCCGAAATATTTTAAAAGCTTTCTATTCTGTTATGTGAATTTGTTCAGCTTACATCATATATATTACATCTTTTTCCATTGAATTAATTTGAACGATAAATAAACTAAGGCTACCCTGTTCTTTCCCTTATGATTTCGAATATGATCTAATTTATTTTAAAGTGAACGGTCAGGTAAATTTTTCAACATATGATTGGCATTTTGTTTGACTCTTCATAACCATTCTTCGAGCATATATATATATTTTGAATAATTTCAATAGTTGAGATCATGAGTCAATTGAAGCTAGACCACCATGGAAAACCTGGAATCACTGAAAGACCGTTTCGTCCTAGTAAGAGACTCCTCAGCAGTACGCATCCACGATCCCACCCTCTGCGAGATTCGAACGTGATTGCGCACTGCTGAGGAATCCCATACTAGGACAAAACGGCCGCCCAGTGCTTCCAAGTTTTCCATGATGGTCTAGCTTCAATTGACTCATGATTTCAACTATTGAAATGACTAAAATCCCCACAAAACCCCTTCTGATATATTGAATACATGATTAAATTAATATGTCATTAAAGTTAAAAGGACAAAGTTTTTATGTATTTAAATGTTTCATCTGGATTGAAATCGTAGATTTATCTAAAAATTTAATTGTATGGATAAAATCCTCATTTTAGGTCTTTAGCTTTGAATGAATTAATTGTAATAAATATAAAGTTGATTATTTACATTTGATCCTTAAAATTTAATCCACTTATTCATTTTTAACCCATTAATTAAAATCTATTAACGGACTATAAAACACAGTCTTCTGTCATAACAAATAATGTATCAGAATAATCTATTATAATCATTATCGAAAGTTATACAAATCATGCATTATTTGATCATGTTTTAAAATCATTATTTCTTTATATTCGTTATATTTCATATAAAGTGATGTTTTTATACAGCCTATTATGATTGTATATATAGTTTCATAGTACTTATTAATGATGAAAGTACAGAATTTCATGAAGGAATTGAATCAATCATACTTTTTAGAAAAATAACAATAATTCAGATGATTTTAAAGTACTTAAACATAATAACTAAATATTTAGACGGTTAAGATTGATTAAATCTTAATCAATATTCGATCTGTTCAACTTATTACATTAACTAGTTATAAACTGAACAAAGGCTGATAGAACCAATTGAATGAGAAGTGTTTTAATTAAGTCACATATTTTATTGAGTTTTCAGACAAAAACACGTAGTAACTCATTCCCACTTGTAAGTGTTTGTTCATAAATTTTGAGAAAGAAAAATATGATGGACCGAAATCACTCAATACAATGACCGTTGTCCATATTTTGCCCAAAGTTTGTTATTTTGACCGTATACAATATGATGTACATTTTGGATACTTTGACCATTCATCTAAACGACTGAACGATAGAAAATCGTCAACATCCGCCATCCTTTAACATATAGTCATCATCATGGATTTTAGACTATAAGTAATTGTTCTCCAGTTTATTACTTACATTTCGATGAACTGTAGTTATGTATTCACTTATTAACCGATCTTTTCTCTATTTTGTTTCAATGCTCTGATTATTCTAAGTCTATACTTGTGCTGTTAGCAATTACACATGAAACGTGTGTTTTTATCCTCTTTATATGCTTACATTTTAACTGAGTTACGTTTTATGCTAACCAACTTGTAATATTGAGTAAAATATTTTGTTTCAGAGGAATGACTCTAATAGGTTATATGAATAACAAAACAATAATTCCTACAGTCACTCCTTGATGATATAAGTCGAATTATTCTGTCAATTTAATCAATCTATCGTATGCTTATTAGCTTCTAAGCCTGACTTGAATATACACTTATTCAATAAACTACTTACTTTTAACGTGTGCAGATTAGATATCCCCATATATATATTTCCATAACAAGGTTAGACAAATTGCAACTATTTTTCACAGTTTATTACTTAACTAGGTAGCATATTTTAAAACTCTTCTTTCACACTGTCATTAAAAAAGGCTAACCTTTTCTTAGCAAGTTAGTTTTCTAGGGGATGTGGTCGCTAACTCCATGCCAAACCCCCCTCCTTTATCCGGATTTGGGACCGGCAGTAGCCTCAGAGGGACTCCAGGCGGAGTTACAAAAGGTACATTCCGATAAAACCATAGATTATGCAGATGAATAAGATTTAATTCATGAAGGTATTAAGTAAATAAACAATTATTGAACACTTAACAGTTATTTAACTTTTATTTTCCAAACGATAGTGGGATGTTTTTGACGTGAATTGAAATTTTTATGGAGTTTTGTAACAAAACAAGTTAAGTTGAACAAGTTTGAGCTTACTTTAGGTAACAAGGATAGTCCTTATCTCTGAGCTTAATGATTTTGAGTACATTATCTATTCTCAATGTTTTTTACAAATTGACAATGCTTATATACAGGAATTTTCAATTGTATCGTCAAACGCAATCTTTATCACATATCAAAGTTTCAATTCATCTATAAATCAGGATTAGGTATTTGAGATGAAAAAAAATTATAGAAATTACTTATGATTTTGAGTCCAACATATCATTTACTTAATCATTGTCCTTAAATATGCTTTGTGTGGGTATCTTGTAAATTTATGAATTTTTTAAATAATATTTAGATGTTTTATTGAATATACTTTACAAATAATCATTCTATTGATTGTTTATAGGCTTTCCACAACAAATGTTACACAATCAGAAGCTTTTACTAGTTGCCAACCAGATGAAACGACTGAAATAACGAGTACAACTGTAGACTATTCATATGGTATGCTTTGTTCCAAAAAGATATGATGACAAGTAAATTTATTGTGTAATTTATTTTCAATGGGAATTCTCTTTGAACCGGTGTAATAATGGATAGTTTTCTACCAACAAAATCCTTTCTAAAAGCATTGACTAAGAGGATAACGTGTTTGGTTTCTGAAGTGAAATGTACTGTGTTGAAGTCTCAGCGTAAGCATCAACACTGGGATCCATGCGTCCTAGATTCCATTATCAGGCCCTTTTAAAAAAATTGCTTAAAAATTCTTGTAATATAGTGGCACTGTCGAGGCAATCCGCTGGGGATGATGACATGCCAAAAAAACTAACCAATCTGAGTCCCTAACATCAACAACGCTAAGATTCAAGGCTTTTAAGTGATAACAACAAATAATATGCTAAATCTTGAAAGTTTATTTTGAAATGTGTCTATCAGTTATTTGTTTCCGATAATAGTTTGAACTGTCTAAAATTCTGCTTACATGCTTATCGTTTCGGAATGTTAGTAAGGTCGATTGACTAATATAAGATTCATTACATTTGATACTCTATAAAGACCTGAGTTCGGTGCCTTGTGTAGTCATAAGTATAAATTATTAAGAAGTTCCACGATAATACGCAACAATTCTTTGTTGTTTTTTAATTTTCAATGATAATTTAGTTGAAATTAGTTTATGCTTGAATGCACCAGTAAATAATATATACTACAAGTGTTGACTTATATTCAAGTATTATTCTGTTTTCAATCTTACACAACTTTGTTTTAATTTAAAAATATGTGTATATTTCAGGTATCAACTGAATTAGTACTGTGTTTATGAATAAGGGAAAGATGATTAAAAAAACATAATCTTTAATTGGTTTTATTTTCCGAAAGTTATTTCCATTACCTTAAGATGAATCACTTTTATATTACTGATTTATAAGTTTATGCTTGCATAATCTGTAGTCAGTTAGCAGAAACTTTGTGTTTTCATTTTTATTGGTTGCTACCATCTTTATAAAACTGATACTTAGTTAAAAATCAATCTATTTCACTTGAAGCTTTTGTATTGGAGACTCCATCACAGATGTACTCGTAGTGTTGCTTCCTCTATGTTTGATATAGTAATTTGTAATACTTAATTCACATATATTTAACAATGTGATGCTTATTTCTAAATTATTCAACATTTTATCTGCAAAGGAATATACAACGGTAAGCAAAGCATACTGTTACTTTGTGTCATTTACCCTAATGACTCCGCTGTATTCCTTGTTCGATTGACTTGGAATCAAAGTATATTGTGTATTTAAAAATAAATTTGTCATATGATCATATTATCACTATATTGAAAGTAGAATACTAAGTTTATAAAAGTAAGGTCCTACTGGGATTTATTCATCGTCCATAAAACATTGAACAACAAAATTTAGCAATATAATTGAGGATATCTACACTATCTTAGTTAGGATTGCGAGCTCCTTATAAATACAACATATGAGACAATCACCCAAGAGGTTTTCAAAGTTTTTGATTTCTTTCCAAATTCATTATTAATATTGAACTAAATAAAAATATATGATTTTCTATAATAATTTCATTATTTATTGACATATAATTATGGTATATTTTCTTGAGGAAACATTTCTACACGGAGATATTTGAGATTATTTATCTCTGAAAATTCTAACAATTTTTTCTACTTTCTAGGAAAAAATTCTCCAAATCAAAGTGTAGATGATAATCAGTCTGTTGGTGCAAGCTCTGTTATTGAAGCTCTGCTTACTACACAATATCCTGAATCAGTTGTGGATGAAACGGAATATTGGAAAGTATGTTCATTTTTATTCAATTTAAACAAATATTTTCTAAATTATATTGTCATCTCTTTAGTATTATTATAATATGATGTTATCAGTTACTCTGAGATACTTCAATATTGTGTAAAACATACTTCGTAAATGTTTAGTGAGTATATATATATATATATATATCGGTGGAGTTTTGTTCTTTTAGTTAGTTGGTTTGGTCGTGGAGCTTTGATTGTTATTCTGAAAAACATCGTCAGTACAAACTTCAGGTAGAAGTGAAGTGTTTGAGTTTCTCTACATATGACTCACAATTTATCCTGTCGACCTTGATCCTGACTGGTTATTGTTGACGTTCAACTTGTTATTTTACGCCTCTTTATCTTGATCGTTTCTCCTTTTGATATTCTTGATCTTATATTTGTCCATGAATTTTCTGATTGGTTGATTTCATCCTCAATTGGTTTCTCAGCTATCCTGATATATTCTTACTTGTCTATAATAACTGTAGTACGTCATTTTTCCGCTTGAACTACGACGGTATCTCCTCTAGTTCTATTAACTGGGGACAAAGGCGTACATAAATCTGACCAAAAGTTTAGACAACCAAATCTCAAGGACTTTAAACTAACTTGTCAAATCGGAACAAATATCAAAATAAGATCAATCGATAATGAAATCCAATGGACGAGTACTCCCTCGATTGTTAGGTAGACAGAAAATACACAAACTAAACATCTCACTTCGTCTAATTGTATTATTCCAAGGAACACCAACATACAATTTATCGATAGAAATTTCAAAAATATTGAACTATTTAGTGGATTCATCAAATCTCACATAGAATTCGTATATAAACTTTCAGATTAACTGCGACGAACTGATGATATCCTTCGATGTAAAACAGCCTTATTGAACCAAGCTTAACTTGGGGTGATGCAGTCAAAACAACGAGGCGTAAAATAACAGGTTAAAGGTGAACAATAACCAATCAGGATAAAGGTCGACAGGATAAATTGCGAGGAGGAGGATGAAATTGCATTTAAATCATCCAAACTTCAAATCTCAATAATCTCTCTCTCTCTCTCTCTCTATATATATATATATATATATATATATATATATATATATATATATATATGTAACCTATATGTCCATCGTCTAGTGATTTTTTTGCTTCATTCCAATATGACATTTTTAATCGATGAGAAATAAAGTAAATCGACTGACATTATGTTACATCATTTTTATAACCTCTTGTGTGCACACACAACCCAAAGTGCTGACCTTGAGGCAGCACTAGGTAATACGTTCATACACTTGTTTACGTTTGTATAGACTGAAGGTTTGCATAAATTTTTTCTTGAGGAATTTACGCTTTGCAACTTTGAATAAATTAACCTGATTAATGATAGACATCTGAGTAAATATGTTTACTCAAATAATATTACTATTTAAATTTTCCTGAATCTATCTAACATTAAGCAGCTTTCGTACAAGTACATATTTTGGAAAGTACATGACCAACTAAAATATCTAAGAAATATAGGTGAAAGAATACCTGAGTTTATAATTGTGTCTGTTCGTCGTGCTTTTTAGGATACATTAAATAGACTTCCTTGTAAGTGAAAATTATAACACAACTCCAAACTATTTTAATTGATTCCACAAAATATTCTCACCAGTACTGTATTTTCTTCGTTGTTCAAGCTAAGTAATTCTGTGTGAAATATTTAGAAAATTTGCTGAATATCTTGCATTCAATGATGTAATGTTGAAAGGACTGATTCTAGTATTCCACCACAACAGCACTTGTGTCACTAGCTTACATAAATACTGATCTAATGGTCGCTAGAAAGTAATGTACCAAAAATGAGCTGTGATTATTCAAGGATTGAAGACAGACATTCAGCAATGTTACATACGCTCTTTATTTTAAAACACCTTTGAATAACTTACACTTTTGTTTCAATCTGTTCTTGTTATTATGGTTAAATGACTCTCAACAGCACAGTCAAACTTGTCTGACTGCATGTCAATTGATCTCGTAAAACCCACGTTTTGGCCCCCGAAAATGGTCACTACGTCAATAAAAAGTATCTAAAATACATCTGAATACAACAAAGTTATTTTTTTTATTATGCGTACGTATTTTAAGTTTGTGACTTGTTTCGTAGAGTTTTAACGACAGATCACTTTACTTTACATGACAGAAAAAATTCAACAATGATCCTGAAGCCTGGGATTATTTTGACAAAACTTCATTCAATGCATTGGTCCTGGTAAAACTGATAGATGATTGGTTGACACATTTAAAGGTATGACCTAACATTTTTAAAAAGAAACTATAAACGATTTATATAATCACGTTCATAGGAAATAGCAATGCATTATGATACTGCTTATATTTTTAAAAAAATTGGTTGATGTACAAATTTCATTCATCATTACAGACCTGACCGTGACATTGACTGTTATTATTTAATAATGAATGGGTATATATCTAAACTTTTCAGGACGTCTGACGTTGATAGATAGATGGTGTCTAGCAGTGGGATCTAAGACGCATATTTTGTTTTATTTCGAACTCAGCTGGATGTACTTAGATCCGACAGTTGATGTTTAATCCGAGACTTCATTCCGGTGCCAATTTTTTGCAAGCCATCACGTTATCAACTTAGCTACTGGGTACAGACAGACACTGATTCATACAATGGGGTGAATTTTAACTCATTTTTATCGGTTGCTTGAATCTTCCCATTAATTTTTAGGACTGCGATTAATCGGTCTCTTTTGGCATATGTACATTAAGGTAATCCGCACAAGATTCACATACACCGAAAGAAACATCAATTTTAGTCCTAAACATCAACGGAAAATATGACTGTGTTTTAAAGCGAAACTAATTTTACTTTCAATCAAATAAGGCTTATTTACACAATCTAAGTAGTTTATCCATCTTAGTCAATAAGAGTTTTGAATATGATACAGTGAATTTAATAGTCTAAATTTAATATAACTATTTTTCAGTAAATTGACTAGCCCCATAACATAAACACATGAGATCAGTTTGTTTGTATGATATTTAAATTTCACTTTTCACAATCATTTTTTTGTTAACATTGGAACTAATTAAATTATATTACTCTACTTTCATCAAACTACAATATGACCATTGAGTGAAGGTTCCGAAGTAATTAGTAGGTAGCTTTTAGAAATTATTTTAGTATTAGTTAGCACTCATTAGCATGGTTTATTTTAGTGGAGAACTTATATATTCTTTGCTAACTGATACCAGTATTACTAAATGATCAAGATAAAAATCATATCTTTTTCTGACATATTTCTGTCAGTTAGGACATTATTGTTTGCAATTGGTGATTAAAGCCGAATTATTCATTGATTGCTTTATTAATTTATCATAATTGGCCTTTGTGAATGATATGTCTTGTCGTTCGAATACTACTTTATTATATCTGGTCATCACTGATTGTTGTGCCGGAAAGCGCTTATCACTTATACTCGAAACAACGAACCTCTGCAATTCCCACGACGCCAAAGTAAGAACACAAGACTGGTATAAGTGAAGATTTATTGACCCTCAAAACACGGCGACGACTCTAGTAAAAAATACACTCATTTATATATTGATTCGTAGACCCATTTTGATTAGGATGGAATCACATATATAAAAAACACTCACAGTTGTAACAAATCATATGCTGAGCATAGTTCATGTTAGATTTTAATAGAATAATATCGTATGTTATACAATAAAATACCATATGTGAAAACAAAACCTAATACTACACTGAATAATCATCACATTGAACCGAAACGGAAATGTTGAACAAAACCCATAATGAGTAAATCAATCGAATTTTGACTTTTCTTCCCGTCATATCAGTGAACTACAGTACATATTGTATCTAGTAAGAAAGAAGTATTAACCGATCACTTAGTAATCGACTCAATTCTTTGTGTTGGCCACATTCTATCTAACAGTTTTCAATGTGACGATTGGTTTAAGTGAATCAGCACTTAAGGGTTCTCTGTTTGATGTTTATTAAACATTAAAAAAACCCAGAAAGGTGCCTTAGACTCAAGGTCCATGCTAGTCGAAACTCACCAACAAGGGACGTCTATATTCTTAGAGGGGTTGAAATTCTTTGCAGGATTTCAATACGTGTTACCCAGCGTTAAATATGGAGAATGGTTATCGCTGGGTGATTTGGGCTGTAACTGTTGTCTTTAAGCATTGAAACTTGAATACTAATCGATCATCGAGTAGAAACTAGTGTCATGTTCAGTCCATTAGTTGTGAGTTAATTCCATAGATTAAGCAAAATCCTTTCAAGGTACCTTTTATTTGGAGGATTGTTCATTGGAGAACCGACTGTTGTTGGTTAGCATCAATCAACCACCACAATACCGTATATGAAATTGATATGATGGAAAGAAAAATCAATTTTCGATGTAACAACGTACTTGATGATAATCTAGTATAAATTAATAATCATTTTACGTTATTTGACAACCGAATAAAAATGTTTCTCAAACCTATTGTGAAACACAAAACAGCGTAAATGGTAGTTGGTTGCCATGATGTACTAAAATGTATACTTGTTTTAATGACAAAAATACTGAACTTGCTAAAAGCGGATCCAACACATACTTTTATCTGAATGTTTTAATAAGTGGGATTTAGATCAACATTATAATAACTAGTGATTCAAGATTCTTCTATTCTAATCAACAAAGTAGTTGCTTTGTAAATATTATTGTAACTCATTCAACCAAGCAAAAGTTTATATACTCACTTTCGAGCTACACCATTTGTATAAGAACCATATGTTTCAAATTGAATCACCAAACAAACTTGGCTAAACCTTTATCATAACCTTCAAGCTGATGGTTGAAAGCTGAATGCTTTAACCACTAAACCGCAGTTCCATAACTATTTTATGCAGATTGAGCTTATTTAAATATTTCTGTTTCTATCAGTTTTTGTGACTTTTATATCTCGTTGTTAATTTGTTATGACTGATCATCGCTGATCGTTATGTTGGAATCGCTGATTACTTTACTTGTAAAACGAGGAACCACTGCAATTCCCACGACGCGAAGTAAGAATACAAAGGCTGGTACAAAAAAGATCTATTAAACACAAAACACGACGACGATCCTAGTCAAAAATACACTCATTTTTATATTGACTATATACCCAATTTGATTATTAATTAGAATGAAACCATATATATGGATAATACCCACAGTTATAATAAATCAAATGATGCGTGTCATGCTAAGCATAGTTCATGTTAAGTTAATACAAGAATATCGTATCTTTAACAAACATCACACTCAAATCAATGTTATATCAAATAAAATATCACACAGGAAATGTAAACAAATACTACACTGGGTAACCATCACATTGAATTAAAACGAGAGTAATGTTGGACAGAAATCATAATGAGTTAAAGAATCTAAGTTTGACTTTTTATTCCATCATATTAGTGTCATTGTTTTTGACACAACATTACAACTTTGGTATTTACCGACAATTTCTCGATTTTATGCAAAATAGTATGACCCCACTAACTAAAATATTAGATAAATGTTTATCATTAACTTAAAATGATTTGTTTTTCTCAAAAAATGTACTTGTAATTATTGTCAGTAGTATTCCCTTGGATAAGTTTTGTTATCAGCTGTCAAGAATTACACATTTATATACATCTTTTATAGTCTCCAGTGCTTCGAATGCAAGACTTGCTCAGCTTACAACAAAATCCTTTATTTGAAGAAGATATATTAACTTCTCTAGAGATTTTCGAGAAAGTAAGTTAGAGTGTAGCATATTTACATGGGTAATTTTTATATTGATTTGTGTTCTAACAAGTATAAGCTTGTCTGAGTATTCGCCATATTTTTTGAAATATCGGTCAAAGATTATAGGCACAGATGGATGGTGGCTAGCAATGGAATGCAGGACGTGCGTTTAGTCCTAATCGGGACTCGTCAGCTGGGTGTAGCTGCATCTTGAAATGAACATCAACTCTGGGATGCAGATAAATCCAGCTGACGAGTTCCAAATAGGACAAAACAAGCATTCTGGATCACACTGCTAGCCACCATTCATCTTTCTTCATATTGCTTGTACCTGAAGGTAATATCGAGGCAATCCGTACAGGATACTGATCAGTCGCAGTCCTAAACATCAATGGGAAGATTCAAACAAACAGTAACAAATAAATACATTGGTGGAACATTTTGAAAAATATATATTAACTGTTTATGATTTGGTGATACTAGGAATCTGTTTCATGCAACTGTGGAAATTATGGCATTAATTCTTTGCAGAAAAATTATTAAGATTTATACTTCAGTTTTGAGAGATGATTATTTGTGTTCTCTGAATATTGTAATTGAATCTTCACCGCACTATCAAAAATTAATAAATGATAATATCAATTCTTAGTTAGTCCACAATCGTAACTGCTTTCAAGTTGTATTAAAATTTGACTAAGTGTTCATTGTAATTGTGTGGAGTTTTCCCAAAAATTTGAAGTTAGTCATTTTGTCAACATGTTGAAGTTAAATGGTATATGTCAAGTAAAATCAAATAACCTGTCAATTGGCAATGTGATCTTATGGTTTTTCATTATTATAAACAAATCTTTACTAATTGCATTATTCTATTTTTTAGTTAAGTATGAGCGATCTTATCTAAATGTGATGTTTTCACTACTTGTACAATTTTGAATGTAATCAGTATGCAAATTATTTATTTGAAATAACTCATATTATTTTCAACTAATTACGACTGATTCTTTAGTGTGAATTACTTCACCATGTTCCCTGTTATTTGAATGATTGAATATTCTATTAGCTTTCTAAGATCAATTTTATATTGAACATTTAAGAGCCAATAAACTGAAGTTAGTCTTAGATTTTTATTCGAAATTTATTTGATATAACAGATAAAATTCCATGATTAAGCCTGTACTGTTCCTTTGGAAAATAATAATTAATTTCTACGTGAATAAAAATGTTTTAATCTTTTCTGTGTGAACATTATCAATTAGAAAAATGTAAGTCCTAGTTTCAACGTCTGATATGGTTAGTAGTTCAGTTTTACGGATTAGTAATTAGGGCTCTGAGAACATGATCAGTTTACCTTTCGGATGAAAATAAGCTATGATTTACACGACTAATCAACTTAATATACATAAATGTTTTATGGATTTTACTTCTGTGGACATTTAGGAATTGCGTAACCCAACTGCCGGTATCTAAATCTACTGGAGCAAAATGTGTAGATGTATCATGTAGTACTAACCTCATATGATTGATTTTCATTTCTATCTGTTGTATGAAGCCTGCAGATAGAACCTCTCAATTTTATATGAATTATCAATTTTGCATATTAAGTCAATATATGAGTAAGTGTATGAGTAAAGTTTAGTGAACGAATGAACTATTTATTAAAACAAGAGTCCCTATTAAAGCAACTAATATATCGACTACTTTGTATACTTGAAATGAATATGTGTTGTTAACAATTAAAATTGAGTTAAACAGCTTATCATTTTGTCTCTCTCCTGAAAATTGAAATATATTTAGTTATATTATGAGTATTGAATTAGTCTGCATAAATTGTGCGCGTAACTTCATGCCACAATTATCAAACATATTTAGAGTAAATGGTTGAACAACTAGGTTCTCAGAGTGATTATTGGTAACGTTAAGCAAAGGGTACTAAGAAAAGATAGATAATTGGTTGGTGGAACTGTGAATTGCGTCAACTGAGTTGACTAGAACGGGCTTCACTTATGCCTAATCACCCACCTACTAAATGGGTAATCTCAGGTAGAGGAAGCGGAACCAAAATGTGTCATCAATTCACGAAGTCACTGACTGTGGATCTGAGCCAAGTTGTCAGGTGCGAAATACCTGGTTGAGGACAAATGATATGAAATGACTCATGATTGGTCATAACGACTCAGTTGTATTTACCCTTGATCTTGAGTCCCAGCATTCATTTATACATACCTTTTTTGTATTTTTGAATCATATTCTCAGTGCTTTGTCTTCTTCGTTACCTTTTCTACTACATTATTTTGACTCTTTCGCTACCTGACTTAATAATTTTATCTTTTGTTATTGTGGTATGGCTACTTGAGTCAGCATACATTTATGCCAAGCTCTGCGTTGATTATGACTGATTAACTAAAAGAACTTTCGACATCACATCATCTTTTGCCATTTTCATAACTGACTTTTGCTTGATTATAAAATATCAATAAAGTTCTCATTGCGTAATGTATAATAAAATATACAAACGAATAATATTGTTGTTAATTAGATTCCTCTCAGTTTTTAATTCAACAGTATGTTGATAATTTTTACAAATCAACTTATTCCATTCAAAGTGAGATCAGAAAACCTTGTTCGTTAATAAAAGTATATCCGAATGTGTATATATCAAGTTAACTCCTTATAAAAATACTTAGATGATGATCAGACTGTTAATTAATTCCGAGCAACAAAAAAATCCAATGATTAATGAGTTGTGTGTGCTATTTATTTTACCTTCTAAAGTGTTTATCTTTTAAATATAAACTAAAGTACTGAATTATATCGGAAGGGGTTTTGTGGAGATTTTAGTAATTTCAGTAGTTGAGATCATGAGTCAATTAAAGCTAGAACACAATGAAAAACCTGAAAGCAGTGCACGGCCGTTTCGTCCTAGTACGAGACTCCTTAGCGGTACGCATCCACGATCCTAGCCCCGCGAAACTCGAACCCAAGACATATCAGTCTCGCGCGCGAGCGCTTAACGACTAGACCACTGAGCCATTCGGCATCCAACGGTGCTAATGTTTAACTCCAACTAATCCACAAAGCTGCGCCACCGCACACCGTTGCCGTCCAGTGCTTCTAGGTTTTCCATGATGGTCTAGCTTCAGTCGAATCATGATTTCGACTATTGAAATTAATAACATCTCCACAAAACCTCTTCCGATAATAATCATCTGCCTACCAGTATCTGACTTCAAGAGGCATTTCCTGGAGTTCTAGTGAGAAGCCGTAACTAGTGGAGTTCAACCAGGTCTGTTGTGAAATATCAGCTCACTGAAGACAATGGTGCATGTGCCACGCGATTTAGTAGATTAATTAAAGTTAGACATTAACATAGTTGGATGCCTCTTAAGTGGTCTAGTGGTCAAGTGCTCACGCGCGGAACCAGCAGGTCCTGAATTCGAATCTCGCGACGGGCGTAGTCGTGGATGCGCAATGCTGAAAACTCCCATACTAGGACGAGACGGCCGTCCAGTGTTTTCAGGTTTTCCATGGTGGTCTAGCTTCAATTGATTCATGATTTCAACTGTTGATATTGAATGATATATTAGATTACTTGCATCACTGACAAACTTATTTTCTTTAAAATCTTTTTTTTAGCCAGTCGTTTGTTTAATGAGTTTATTTGCCAAACTAATAACTTATCTTCAACCTTTATCTGAACAAATGGAACATTTACTAATAGAACGTGTTTTAAATTGGTTATGTCAAAAACAATCGAAATCTTTAAACATTACAACAAATACGAAGAAATTCAATGAACAATTTAGATGTTATCATACAAGATTTGATGATTTATTGCAATTAGCTTTTAGAATAATGCATTTTTTAATTGAATTTGTAAAATCAAAATGTACATTAATTGAAAGTGTTAATCTGCTGTCTAATTCTTTGCCTATCAGTCAATAGAAATAATAATTATAATGAAAAAGAAAACAAAAACAAACATATTTTGTAACAAAACAGATTAAAGTAATAATTATTTTATTAGTATTGATAATTGATTTACAATGAAATGTTTTTTAATAGGAGAAAAAAACTAGATTACTTCATAGGATTTCTTTTTGATTGTGGTTATTAATGCAGACTATTGGATGTCAACTCTGTGATTTGAAAGTTAAACGCTTACTTAAAGTTTTGAATTTTCTCAACAATAGAGTCGTGTATATAAACTGCTGAGCAGTCCAATGTGCCGACAAAATAACCCTGTAATGATCATTGGTTTTCAATGGTTATCTATCCAAAACAAATTCGTTATGTGAAAATACAAAATTATATATAAATTGGATCATTTGATTTTTTATTCGAAGTAAACATATTTTGAGTAAGATAAATTTCATAAATACTGGTAATGTTTCCACCCTGAATAATTGTGACCAATGGTTTCATTCAATGCTGTATTATTGAAAAGAGCATATCCACCTCTCAAAACCGATAATATATGCTGATTTTTTTTATTATTACAAAATAATTTGGTTTCTGAATTCGTCTCTGCAATTTTCGTAAATCTTTTGAACTTAGAATCTTAAATTAGTAGAAAGTTGTTTTAGTTCAAGGTTTATAGTTTTAAATCTGCATGTAGCTCTTCTAGGGTTATTACCGGTCCCAAGCCCGATAAAAGGAGTAAGCTTGGGCATGGAATCAGCAACCATATCCCATAGAAAACAACCTTGCTAAAAAGATATTATGAAGAGGTTAGGAAGTATACAGATAAAACAATAAATGAAAATTGTTACTCAGATTAGATTGTAATTCCTTATTCAGAAACAGCTCAATTATGATACTCTTACTGTCATATTCAAGATTAGAAGACCATCACTTCATGCGAAATATCCGGGCAATGTAGGAGACCGGGAATACCAATCTAGTGGCTACGGAAATAGAGAGATACAGCTTGGCAGTTCTCGGGATAACCGAAACCTATTGGATGCATTCTGGAAAGAAAAAATTAGATTCGAGAGGGGTCCTGTTGTATTCTAGTCATGAACAAGGAAATGCTCCGCACACTCAGAGTTGCTGATGCTGTCCAAAGAAGTTCGAAAATCACTTATAGGATGAAAATCTCATAGATCCAGGATCATCGAAGCATCCTTCGAAATAAAGAAGTGTTCACATTGGATCATCCAGTGCTGTGCGTCCATGAATGATAGCAGTGAAGACGATAAAGATCTGTCTTATGAGGGGCATCAGTCCAAAAAAGGACCTGACAATCCTGATGAGAGACCTGAACGCCAAAATCGAAATGGACAACATCGGATATGAAGATGTCACGGGACGACATGGAGTAGGAGAAAGGAACGAAAATGGGGAGAGATTTTCAAATTTATGTGCATTCAGTAAATTGGTTATAGACAGCACAATATTTCCACTCAAACGCATACATAAAGCTACATAGATCTCACCGGACCACACCACGGAGAACAAGATAAATCATATTTGCACCAGTAAAACTTTCAGAAGGTCAATGAAAGACGTGAGAACCAGGAGAAGAGTTGACATAGCTTCAGATTACCGCCTGTTTGTGGCCAAGATGGAACTGAAACTAAAAAACGCATTAAACTACTGGAGAAACAGCATTACAATGGTTTAATACAGCCTTCCTTTGAAATACTGACAAACACAACGAATTCAAGATAGCTTGTGGCAATAGGTTCCTAGCCTTAAGAGTTCTGTTCAAAGAAAAGGAAACCACTATGGAGGAAAAGTGAGAAGCGACTGGAGACAATAATTCCAACGTATCAGGAATTGCTGGACCACAGGTAGCCGAACAACTGCAGAAAAAGCCAAATCATTGACCAAATACGCAGATCCGAATGAGCAAGTAAAGAAGAGCATTAGAGCTGACAAGCAGAAATACGTAGACAACCTAGTAATAACAGATGAAAACGCTGCAACAGAAGGAAATAGGAGACAAATCTATGATAAAACGAAGAAATTAGCATGGAAATATAATAAACCAGAGAGAACGGTCAGGGACAAGGGAGGAAATCCAATCACTGCGATTCAAGTACAGAGGAACAGCTAGGAGGAACCTTTTGAAGAACTCTTGGATACTCCAGCTTCACTGAACCCGCCGGATATCGAATAAGCACCTACAGACCTTACTATTTATGTCACTCTATCAACGATCGAAGAAATCAGGGAAATCAAGTGTGGGAAAGCAGAATTGGACCAGACAACGTACCAGCCGAAGCTCCAAAGTCAAACATAGAGGTACCTGCAAAGATACTCCATCTCCTATTCAGGAAGATTTGAGAGGAACAACAGGTGCCGACAGAGTGGAAAGAAGGACACGTCATCTGGTGGTTGACTGGATTATGAAGACCTCAACATCTAAAGGGAAGCACAGAAAACTATGGACAACGTGGATGCGGCCAGACTATTTGGGCTTCGCAGATGACTAGGCCCTTCTATCCTATACACATCAACCAATGCAGGTGAAGATAAGCAGCTTGACAGGAGCCTCTGAAACAATGGGCCTCAACATACACAAGGAAAAAGCAAGATCCTCAAATGCAACACGGAGAACGCCAACCCAACCACACTTGATGCAGGAGCCTTAGAAGAGGTGGAAACTTTCACGTACCTGATCAGCACCATTGATGAATAAGGAGGATCTGATGCAGACGTAAAAGCGAAGATTGTAAAGGCAAGGGCAGTTTGACGTCCAAGTTTTTGCTCGTTCCCGTTATTGAAGTACGGTATATCGATCTATTTGCAATTTACGAACCCAAATTAACAATAAAACCAAACCCCAATTTAGGTACCAAAGTTTAATCGCAATTTACAAATAGTCGACCCAAATGTCGTTCTAACAACAATGATTGTAATAATTACAAAACAAACCTTCAATTTTGTAGGTTCCCGGAGCAAAAACTCTCAAATACCAAACCAAAGACAAAATAAACCAAAATGTCCAAAAATAATGATATAAACAAACAATTTCAGGAGTTGAGTAAAACAAATACATCCGAAAAACACAGTAAAAGTATTAATATACAATATAAAGGTTGTAATCAGCCAAATGTATTCAGTTCTTCCCTAACAGGCAGCGTTCCCACAATTGAAGTACACATGGAACTCAAAACAATTGTCAACAAATGTTAAAGTCAGAATCTTCAATACGAGCGTCAAAAGTACTATGTACGGAGCTGAAACGTGGAGAACCACTACAAGCATCACCAAAAAGTACAAATATTTACAAACGATTGTTTACATAAGATACTAAATATCCGTTGGTTGGATACCATCAGCATCAGCCTACTGTGGAGAGGACAAACCGGCTTCCAGCTCAAGAAGAAGTTAGGAAACGACGTTGGAAGTGGGTGTATATTACAAAAATCGTCAGACCTCTTCGCAAGGCAAGCCCTTACTGCGAATTTCGAAGGGAAACGGAAAAGAGGAAGACCAAGGAGCTAGTACTATATCAAGCTGAAATAGGTTACTCTAACCTCTGGACACACCGGTCTATTAATTCTTCTCAAGCCACATTTTTACCCTAATACTTATTCGCTTAATAACCCTGACCGTTTTTCTGTGATCGTATGCCTGTTAATTACTTACCCTGTTTGTTATGTGTCTGTAACTTATTTTTGGTCTGACTATAAATATTGAGTCACGCTTGGGTAAATCGAGTTGACTAACACGCCTTCTCCACCGCGCGTCATTTCGTCTCGCTTCGCTCTCTCCTCTTCGTTTCGTTGATCGTCTGTTTGTGTCGATGGTTATATGAAATATACTTACTCGAAATCCATCCTCTTATTTGACTTACTAAATTCCGTCATTCACTAACGCAATTCAAGTAGATAATTATATACGACGGTATGTGTATTTCGATC